TTAATAATAATAATACTATATTATTATTACTATTAATATTAATAATACAAATATTTTCAATTATTAATTTAAAATTATTCTAAAAAGGAAGTTTTAATTCATTATTTAAGTTGAGGGAGATTCATCAGTTCCATTCGTATAGTATAGTTAATAGTAGGAATGCTCCTGAGAGATGAAGCGGTACGCGCGTTGTTTACAAGCATCCGACGATTTGTTGCTGAGGAACATTGGGCGTCGCCAACGAAATCGAGTCGAAATTTGCAACTAAATCCCAGCTCTGATTTAAAGTATAATTTATTATGTACTGCATACACATTACAATTGAATACATTCTGTATAATAATCTGTTAGAGGAAAAAATGTGTATGAGACTGATGTCACTTGTATTGTAAATCATCTCATATTAAAGAGTGAAATCGACTAAGGCGATTTGCAGGGAATAGAAAGTTACTTTTTGAAAGTAACTCGTTACAGTTAACGTACGTTACTTGAGAAAGTAACTTTTCATTACTTTTCCGTTACTTTTTAAAAATCAACGACCACCAGTCACAGATGGATGCCTAAAGGCTTTCTAGTCTCAAGCACTATGAGTGGCTTGTGTCCAATCGTGTGCAAAGTAACAATAAAAGTAACTGTAAAATTCGTTACCGTTATCAAAAAAATCTAACTATACGGTACCGTTACAGTTATCAAAAAAAAGTAACTTGTAACTGTAACTTCGTTACAAGTAACGAGTTATTTCCACTCCCTGGCGATTTGTTTATACATATAAAGAGGTCATTAATCGATAAACACGCCGATTGAGCTCGTGTAATTAATTTAGCGATATGTGTTAAATTGTCATCTATTGCTTTGTCCTTGTAACGAAAATGTATCCTTTTTTTCTGTTAGTTTTCGTAAAATAATCAGCAAAAATCCTCACCATGTTAGAAAGAACGCATATCATATCTGATCTTTATATTTTAGTTAAGTTTTAACTATATAAGTCTTATCGAAAACATTTTTATACTAGAAAATTTATAATTTTAATAATTTTTCTTATTTATTTAAATATATTTGATTTTTTTAGGGTTTCAAGTACTTTATGCGGAGCAATATAAAGAAGGATCTAATCGAGTTATATTATTATCATCGATGATCACTGATGTTGCAATTATAGCAATAAATGAAAATAGTAAGAATAATTTGCAGCAATTACATTCGCATAACGATAAAAATAATGACGCTCCACCTCATTTACAGATACGGAGATAATAATAAAAGCACAAGGCCAGGGCCAAGGGCTGTATTCGCCCTTCCACCTCCGGTGGACGCTTTCCGAAATAAAATAAAATCCTCCCTGAAATAATTTGGAGGGCGCCGAGGGATGCTCCTCTCTCTTCTCCCTTCGCTCATTTTAATCCGAGTTTTAAGAAGTTTTTCCTATTGCTCGTAAATTGGCCGTCGTTTGTCTGGCCGGGGTCACGTGGGGCCAGCAAGGGGTGGGAACTATCCCCGCGGTATTCTCCCCACTGTATAGCGAGATCCTGTTGTTCGCACATTGCGCATTCGTAGCGCGCGAGTGGGGGACGGAAACTCGTAACTGCGATATAATGTCCCGCGAAAACCAGCTACCATCATCAATTATCTCCGCTTTCTCGTCCCCTTAGAAGGGATGAAACGGGGAATAATCGAGAAACGCGTGGGGCCGACTCGTCGAGATTTCTTGAGATCGTTGCACAAAATCGGAGACGTAAAAATTATAACAGCAATAGTATTATTTAAAAAAGTAAGTATAATAAAGATGATCTAAAAAAATTTCTCAAAGATCAAGATTAGACAATTTTTAATACTCCTTTTTTAATCAAAAAACTTTCAATATAATATATAGTTCATTTACTTAAAACATGAATTATCTCTTTTCTGTAATAAATATTCATTACGATTAAAATCAGGATTGTATAAGTTACATAAAAAGTAACGAGTAACGAAATAGTGATGAAATAGTAACTTCAAAATTTCGTTACTCGTTACTGGAAATTATAACTTAATTACCGTTACTGTTACGAAGTTCTTTCGTTACTTTTTTATTGTATGTAATTACCTTTCCTAGTGAGTAACAGTAACGGTAATTAAGTTATAATTTCCAGTAACGAGTAACGAAAATCTCATTACTATTTCGTTACTCGTTACTTTTAGTTTTTTTTAGTAAATAACGCGTAATGATAAGTTATTTTTTTAAGTAATTTTTCCAACCTTAACACAACCTTAACGGTTAGTTTGTTAGCGTTACCATCATACAAAATTATAACATCATTGTCAAATTGTTTACTATAAAAAGTAACGACAGAGTAACAAGAAAGTAACTTTTAACAATGAAAACCTGATGAAAATTTCCTTCAAACAGAACTTGATATATATTACGTATTTTTTAATAAAAAGAAATAATACAATGGCTCAATTCGAATAAATCAAAATATACAAGGGGGGTTGGGCAACGAGCCAAATATAAATACAAAAAATAATTTAATAATATTAGATTAAATACAAACATTTCGACTCCGATCGAGTCATTCTCAATGTTAGAGAACAAATTTAAAATTATAAAATAATAATCGGAATTTATAAACCTTAACAAATAATAACGTCTCTAAATAAAATATATATAAAGAATAATCATAAATTTTTCCTCCATAAGTGACGTCAATAATTGCATAAATCAGTCCGGATGTAACATCTTTGTAAAAAATTATCATGATGATCATCATTACACTGTTGGATATCGTCAGAGTCTCTCAGCGTTGTTTGCATTATTGCTCCAATCTTTTAACAACCAAACTGTGAACTGGCGGATTGTTTTACATAAAGAACTTTTCTTTTATAATTGGACTTACTACTTTATATAACGAGACATGATAATTTTTT